CTATGAAATATACCGATCTGGGTCTCTACTCTTGAGGGCGATAGAACAACCGAGAGAAAGTGGTCGTGGTTCTTATGAAATTTCAAAAACCGTGTTCTTGACAACGTTACTATTGAAAAGGCGATAGAAAATCCGTTCCCAGTAAAACAAAATACTTCCCCTACTAAACCCAAAATTAGTGATGACGTAAATTTGGTTGCACTGAAAATTTCAGTGAAAAATGCAGTCAGAGTAAACTTTATATTATTATCAAGGTAACTCTTAGTGGAACCAAAATATTATAGCGTATGACATTCAGAGTTTTTTACATAAAAATTAAATGACAGTGTGTAATTTTTTTCATTTAATTAAGAATATCGCCTTAAATTATATGCATATAGAAGAATCATGGGACATAAACTCAGATCATTCTCCCATACTTCTCACATAGAGTAATAATAATGTAATCAAAAAAGAAAATTTACCTAAACAAGTCATCAAAGGCACAGACTGAAACCATTTCAAAATCATCCTAGAAGAACTAGTTGATCTCTCGATTCCATTAGGAAATGAGGAACAATTAGACCAAGAAGTTGAACAAGAAGACATAGTTGTTAAACCTACCTCTCTAAAAGAAGTTTATATGGAAATCCAAAAAATTATAAAACCAAAAAACCTCTGGATTTTACCTTATGAATACAATATTCAAAATGACCAATCTTATCAATGCGTTCTTTGGACTAAAGTTCATACCAAAGATGTGAAAAGTAGCAGAAGGTATAATGATACGTAAGTCAAGTAAACTTGCTTATGAAGTTACATCGTACAGATCTAACGCCTTGGCACCTATTATCTCTAGCTCTAAAAATTATCGAAAAGTGGTGCAAGGACCATTCACTGTCTATCAATCCTAAGAAGACAGAAATGGTCCTTTTCACGAGGAAAAGGATGAAAATGGAATTAAAACCTCCAGAACTCCCAAACACAAAACTAAACTTTGCAACAGAGGTGAAGAACCTAGGTTTCACCTTTGACAGCAAGTTAACATGGAACTCGCATTTAGAAAATAGAGTTAAAAGAGCATACATTGCTTATGAACAATGCCGCCGATCCGTGGGGCGCACCTGGGGTTTCTACACCAGAGTCGTCGCATGAACTTACACGGCTATCATAAGACCTATGCTAACATACAAGCAGTTATCTGGGTACCGAAAACCGCAAAAATTAACAGCTATCCGTAAACTAGAACAAATTCAAAGAACAGCATATCTCAACATAACAGGAGCCATGAAAACAACACCGACCAGGGCCATGGAAGTTATTCTTAGTCTCACTCCCCTTGATATTTACATCAAGGAGGTTGCTCTAACGACAATGACACGCCTCCGCACGGTTGAAATAGAACCTGATGTAGGATCTGGTGAGGCGAGATATCGCTTTTGGCAGGAGGCGCTCGATACGTTCCCACTGCTTCAAGCTAACATGGACTCCATCTCACCGAGATATATCTTCCATAAGCCATATAAAGTTATAATAGAACAAATAGAAGAGCCGGAAGTGGCAGGTACGATTCATATCTACACCGACGGTTCTAAAACAAAACAAGGCTCAGGATGTGGAATATACTCCAGATTCTTAAACCTAAACATAAAATGGGCTGTGAGCAATAGTACCATTGTAGTTTAAACAGAGCTAAGGGGTATTCTCATAGCAGCAAAAGAAATAACCAGAAACAATATCACTGGAAGGAACATGCTCATCTATACAGATAGCAGACAAGCACTATTCACCCTGAACAGACCACGAATTTACTCAGGGTTAGTACTAGAATGTCACGAAGCTTTGGCCGAAGTATCCATCAACAATGTGGTCACCTTAAGATGGATCCAAGGTCACGCCACATCGAAAGGTAACCATCTTGCTGATTCACTAGCCAAGGAAGCAGCCAACCAAATACTTTTTGGACCTAGCCGTTCTATTGGCCTGACAAAATCGGTAGTGACAGACCTAATTAAAAAACATTCCCTTGTGAAATTTAAAGAAAGATGGGATGAAACAAGAAACTGCAGAGTTGCCAGGGAACTCTTAAATTATCCTGACAACACCGCAGCAAACAAATACTTGACTATGACTAAACAGAATATGCGCCTAGTCACAGGCATTCTGACTGGTCATTGCCAAGTCATTTATTAGAAGATTTGTGTTCGGCGAGTATCGGCTAATACCGGCCGATATAAGAGAAGCATCTCTTGGCGACGTTGTCAACTACATTAAATCTATAGGCTGGCTCACGAGCTAGGAGGTGCCTATCATCTCAGGAGGATGCACAATGGGCCTAATTCCTCCCACCCTCCACACGTGACAGATACAGAGACCTATTATCTCGAAACTCTATGAAAAATTATTTCTCAAGAGATTGAAACCGATAATAGAAGAAAAGTACCTAATACTCTCCAACCAGTTTGGCTTCAGAGAAAAACACTAGACCATCGACCTAGTTCACAGAATTACATATATCATCTAGAAGTCCCTAAAAGAAAAAATTTTGCTCCAGCGTATTTTTGGATATGGCTCAGGATTTCGACAAAAGTGTGATTCAAAAACAACATGTTCCTGCCACTATTAAAATTATATTCTTCAGAAAGATAGTTCATAATTAAACAGGAAGAAATTAAGACAGAAGTACCTCAAGTTAGTGTACTAGGTCCAGTACCCTACTAACTTATTGTGTACCAAAGATATTCCTTTTTTTAGGGGAAACCGCTTGGCAGAAACTGCTGGGTCTATGCAGTTGTTAATGCCGGGTGCTACTCTGACTAAAACCCCTCGTTCACCTCTGTGGTGTCCTCGCTCCACCCTGGGACCGCCTTTCGGCATTTCATCAGGGTGGGGACGTGCTTTGGGTTTAGATATTTTAATGATACTTCAATCCTTGCTGTTGGAAAAATCACGAATATTGCAAAAATCTATAGACCAGATTACCACCTGGACGAAAAGATTGCGAATAAAATTGAATGAATACAAATATGTCCATTCAAATTCAGCAATATACAAAACAAATATTAAAATAAACGACACTCGGATTAATTTTGTCAGTACATTAAAATATCTGGGTATGATGCTAACTTCGCTGGAAAAACCATATAAAATACAAAAGAATGTATTGGTTTCTAGAAACAAAAAATCCAAATTATCCACATACAACAAACTGCTTCTTTACAAGCAGATGGACGTATGGTATCCAACTTTGGGGCCGTACCAGTAAAAGTATCGTCGATGCACCCTGGTGATGCCACAGTACTGTTCTTTATTATTCTTTAAAGTGGAGATTGTTGAAAAAACAATAGAAAAATTTGCCAGTAGTCACCAACAATGGCTTCTTCAACATTAAGGTTACACATTTCTTCAACAGTGCCAATCTAATAAGAAGGCTCAAGAGAACCAAGTCTTTTGAGTTAGTTCAGTGATTTTTGATGAAAGCAGTTTAGTGTTAACCATTAAGGGTAGTATAACTAAAAAATTAGACTATAAGGTACACTCTTGAGTAGAATCTTGGTTTATGAAGTGTCTCAGCCCTAGATAAGTTTGGTTAGAACAAAATTAATAATTGATCTTAATGATTAGATTGTAATAATCATAAATACTTTATTTGGAGCATTTATTAAAAAAAAGTTTAATTGTTAGTTTTGTGTAAAGAAATATTTTCTGAGCAATGTCAGAGATTTAAAAGACAAAGGCCTATACGTACCGCCAGTCGTTAAGAAATAAGCAAAAGTTTTTTTAATAAAAAAATTATTTTAAGCTTTATTTACATTTTATATGTTTGAAGTCTGTCAAAATATTATTCGTTTTGATTAGTTAAGAACGATTTCTACGAGATTCTTTTCCCTTCTTACTTTTCAAGAATACAACAAAGCAATAGAAGAGTGACATAACAAAATCTATTCTTTCGCCCTCAAGAATTCGCGATTCAAATTAATTTTCCCGCGCTGTATAAGTAGGAAAAATACACTACAGTGTTTGTAATAGAAATTTGAACCAATAAAAGTAGTCCTAGGTAGTCCTAGTATCCAGTTAAGATTTCCGTACAGCGGTTACCGCTGTTAGCGTGGTTACCTTTGTCACTGAAATTATTATATTTTTGAGTTCCAATAGTAATAGATATGTTACAATTTTAATAACAACGGCAACACCTAAGTCACTTACACATGTTATAAAATGTGTATCCAGAGGGCGTATCGCTTGAATCGCAAATAGGGCTCTAGAATGGAGATAATCACAAAGGAATTCATGATTTTTTCTTCAAAATACTTCAATTTTTAGACCACCCCGATATTGATGATGACAAAATTTTGGCAACCATCTGACTATTCAATTAGCCCTATAGAAATATCCTTATCATTTTATCCTTATTCGCCTGTCAATTTTAATCCTTCACCACAACCTTACCATCAAAACTTGGTACTACTTCGCCGTTTTTCTAGCATTTTTCTTGTTTAAAGAATAAGCTGTTAAAGGAAATTTTCCTTTCACTCTGAAACTGCTATCTAATATAATTTCTACCTAATATAAAGGTAAACTAATTATTTCAACATCATTCTGCATCCTTCAAATGATAAAATTACAAAGTTATCTACTGGTTTAACTTATTCAAGCCCTTTCATATATGTTTAGTGCTCTTCGCCAACTATTATTAACCTTCATTAAATATTCTGAACTGAAATTTAGTTTAGTAACAGTTCATGTTTATTAATCAGCGTTACCACAACTAGATCACATTTTTGTTTTTAACAGAAACTTTCCTGTTATTTAACTTGGCTTTTATTTTGTTTTTATTAAGTTTGGAATAATTATGTTCATTAAAACGTTAAACTAATCAATGCTTTCAACAAATTTGGTCCAAATACTCCTATCTGGGAATTATATTTCCATATCTTGAGGCTATCTAACTACCTATCTACCTGGCCAAATTATTTCAAATTCACGGTTTCGATACAAAATTAAACCTATGTCATTTTTAGATAAATCAGTGTCATTTGAGAAATCGGTATCGTTCAGTGATGAGCCCCCAGATATGAATTCACCGAAACAACATAGTCCGCAACATGCAGGTAAGTTTCATTTTATTTGGACGATTGAATTTAAATCCATTTTTTGTTCTTGTACGTTCGCTGGCAAGTTTTAAAAAGCATCTTTCGTATAAATTAATTCACAAAAAAAGTAAACTTGGTGCTATACCTAGTGTTTTTCACAAAGGGATCAGTTCAATAGTAGACGCTCACTGATATGTATCTAACCAGAAGATATTGTTAAAAGTTCAAGAGACAATTCATCAAAGAAGCCAAAAGCATCACCAAAGATTGGAGTAACATACTTAACACACTACTTCAATCACTATTTGAAGAAAGAAACAGTAGAAGACTGTAAAGAAACTGGCCAATAAAATATGGTCAAAAAGATCTTCTCACTGCAGAAGCCTCCTCAGGACTTTTGACAGACTTTAAAATTAGTCTCCAGGTCATAAAAATAATTCATAATTTTAAATTCAGAGTCTTATTTAAATAAACAAATAAAAAATCTAGTGCTACCACTGATATCAGGACCAAGCTAAAATGTAGTCACTCAACCAGTACCCTTCATAATTCATGGGTTGGGACTTCGTCATTGTTGGATCAGTCCATGGATTTTTAGACGGGTATAGGAAAGGTGCCTCATTAAAGTATAAGTATTTTTTTTGTTTATTATTTTCTTACTCTTATTAAAAAATTAATCTTAATATAGGGGAAAGTCACCTATGATGGCACGTCTAAGAACTTTTATAAATCAAACGATCGGACTAGTTTGGAGACTCTAGATAATGGCTCATAATAGTATTACATGCAGCAAAAGTATCCAACTAATCCGAATCTAACAAATCCATGTGCTTTCTATAACTTGATTTTTTTAAAAATCATTGGGTGTGCCATCATAGGTGTACAGTACTCGTAGGATGGCACACTATCGAAATATACAAATGGACAGTATTTTATTAAGGAACAAAAAACAAATAAGTACTTCTTAAAATATTACTAAAAACATTAACAAATAAAAACGTACTAAAAGTAGGTAAATATATTATTATGTACACACATCACAAATGAACTGTTTGGTTTTTCTACTGACGTCTGCGCATTGTGCATGGCACCAACCAGAACAGTTCTGACATTTAATCCAAAATTCCCTAGATCGAGACCTTGAGTACAGTTCGTTACAATAAAGGCAGGTTACGTCGAAATCATCATCATCATCAACAATTTCAATGTCTGCTTCATCTTCGTTCATGAATTCAATGTTTTGTTTAGCTTTGGTCGAAATATCCATCAACAATGTGGTCACCTTAAGGTGGATCAAAAGTTACGACATATAAAAAGGTAACCATCTTGCTGATCTACTAGCCAAGAAGGCAGCCAACCAAATATTTTTTTGGACCTGGCCCTTCTGTTGGTCTGACAACATCGCGGTAGTGAGAAAACAAAGTAACAAATACTCCTTTGTGAAATTCAAGGAAAGATGGGATGAAACAGAAGCTGCAGAGTTGCAAGGGAGCTTTCAAGTTATCTTGGCAATACTACAGTAAACAAATACTTGACTTTGACTAAATAGAATATGTTCCTGATCACAGGCATTCTGATTAGTCATTTCCAAGTACGGAAGCATCTCCATTGCATGGGGCTGCCAGAATTTGCACTCTGCAGGGGATGCGAACAAAAAGATTTGACCATCGAGGATATCCTCTACGAATGAACGACGCTCTTATTTAGTAGAAGATTTGTGTTCGTCAAGAATTGGCTAACACCGGCCGATATATGGGAAGCACCTCTTGGTTACATCAAGTCTGTAGACTGGCTCACGAGCTAGTAGGATGCACAGTGAGCCCAGTGTTGCCGTGGGTTAAACCACCCATTTCACGTTACAGATACAGATATCCCTAGCATCAATTTATCTAAAAGTGGACGACCAAAAGTTTTAAGCCGAATAATATGAAATTCACCATACAACAAAGTTTTTATTTCAGAAAAATTTAATGGGGCACTTAATTGCATCGTTTATTATCTCTATCAATTAAAATTTTGTCGCGGATCTCAACAGAAAACAAATGTAAAACGTTTTTGATAGCTTCTTTTTTCATTACTGTTTTGCATGCTGTGTGATTTTTACTAACTCCATCAATGTGTTTTTCGCTTCCTACAGCGGATACTAAGCCAGCAAAACCTGCCATTAAGTCTTCGACGTTACCAAGAACTTCATCTCAAGGTAAGATTTTATATTCGCTCTATATTGCTTCTACAAAGAACTATTTTTTAACTATACTTTTACTGTTTAAAGTTTGCGATATTATTTTAACATCAAAAATTATATCTGTCTAAAATTACGTAGTACTTTTTGTCACTTCTTATTCTTTAAATGTTCTTTACTCCTAGTCTTCTCCTGTTATTCTAGAATTTAAAAAAAATCATCTTCTCCCTTATTTTATATTGTACCTTTTTTGAACACCACTATGTTTTCCAAATCTGATTCCAAATCTGATTATATAGAGTACTCTTTCGTTTTTATGCATGTATTCCTCCAGTACCTTACAAGAACTAGATTCTGAACAAAGAATCGATCTTTTAAAAAAGCAGACTGTCTTGGAGGTCTAAGGAGTCCAATTTCAGTAGCTTATCTTATATATTATAATAAAGCAGTCTTGGATATATTCAAGAATGTTTTATTGTTTAGCTTTAGCCTCAACTTAAATAATTTGTTACTTTTCATCTCCGCCAACTGGTCTTTCCAATTTATGCCTCTGTACTCCCAATTTGCTACTTACAGCTAACTCTAAGACCGAAAATATAAGCTAATTGGTCAAAACTTCTGTATATAATCTTACATCTATATATTATTTTTAAATAGCTTTTTGTTTGTCATATCCCGTCAAGTCTTCTCAATATAACCCTTCAAATCATCTAAAATTATCCTTTCATTTACAGATAAATCTTTTCATGCCTCCTTGTCTAGACTTTCCTAGGGAAGATATGCTTCAATATGTTCTTTTCCAATACAATCAGTTTTTTTTTAAAAATATAAATGTATATTTCCACATTTTCTTACAGAACGTGATCGTTTAAAACCAGCTCCAACGGGAAAACCTTCATCTATATCACCAAGTTACGACAGTAGAATCTACAGGGATCTACAGTTAACGCCAGAAATGTACAATCAACTTAGAGGACTCCAAAAGAAGGCCAAAGATCTGAGAGCGGAAGTTAGGAATTTAAGAAGAATGTCTCAAGCCCAAGCGCATTCTGTAAAAGAAACAATTCGGGATACTTTCATCAAAATTAGGGCTATGCTGATGGCTGGCGGTGAACAAGTATGGCAAGCAGGTAAACAAAAATATTTATTGCTATGATTAAGCGGTTGAATATTGTTGGGTTAACAAAATAGTTATTTATGCAACCAGTGGGTAAAGTTACTCTATTTTGACGAATGAGTCAAAAAAGCGACTTAGCACACGAGTTGCATATAATATTTTTTCTACTACTGTACACATTATCCACTAATATTAAAAATATAAAAGTTACTTTTTTTCACTAGTGCGTAAAGTACTATTGTTGCTAAGTACAATTTTTATCAAATTTTCTTTTGTTTTCACTAGTGCGTAAAGAGTTTTACTTTACGCACTAGCCTGGCACTCCGTGGAGTACATAAAGTATGTACTTTACGCACGGTAATACATAAATGTATATTTAAATAAAAAGTAGATAAAATTTTATAAAACTTTCATAAAATTGTTATTAATTTATGAAGCAAATATTTTAAGTCAGAGTAAAAATACTGTTTTATTTAATTGGGAAACTGCGTACTTTCATTTTGAATAAATTAATTATTCACGTTTTCAGTGAATATTAATTTTAATAATAAATGCTTTTCTCTCACGTTTTATTTCAAATAATATATATTTGTTGTACCTAATTAACCTTGCTAGTTTTATTGAGATTTACTCGAGAATCCATTGTATCTATTTTTGCTATAAAATGTTGAATTTATTAACTGTTTAAAAGGCGCACAAATTAATTTTTGGTGTCAGTTTCAATATAAAATTATATGAATTATTTGTAGCACCTAAGATGTCGAATTATTATTAATTTTTGATTTCTATTGCCATTTATTACACCTATTATTTGGTATTTTGCTAGTAGTTTTAAGATTGTATATTATCTTTAGTTTGGAACTTCTTCCGTACTTTCTTTTTATATGTTTATTAGATGTTATTGTTAATTTGTACAAATTATTGGGTATCTTTTTTGAATTTGGAAATTTAAAAATGTAAACTATAATCCTGCTTACTAAATTAATGAATCCATCCTCTCATTTTTAAACTAAAAACATTGACAAAGACGAAAAATAGAGAAAAAATAAGTGAGGGCTAGAGATGAAACCTTTCTTTTGTGAAAGAGAAATCCTCATAGACCCCAGCTGCTTGGTTCAATCGCGCCTAGGAGTGTGGAACTTCAGCTTTTGGGTGCAGTGGCCTCCTACCCACTAAAATCCCTCAAAGACATTTATTTTATTCTGGGTGCTGGATGGTGTTCACGTTTGCATTTCCTTCTGCCTCGTCCTACTTTTTTTATCTTTTCTGTTATCATGTTGATTGTTTAATCCTTTGGTCCTCCTCTTTCGTAAAGTATATCCTTTGCTAGTTTCCTTATCGTCTCCCACGTGGCGGTATCCGCTACCATCTGGTCTGTTCTGGCTCTTCAGAAATATGTTGAACACTCTCCGAGTACTAGATAACCAGTGGAGAGTTGAAAAGATTTGGATACCTTTGTGCCCTGGTACGCACGCTAATTTTACCTTATTGTGGGTTGCCAGATCATTTAATATAACAAAGCAGTTCCAGACAAGCTTTGACTTGATTCTGTTTGAATCAAGAGCCTTTAAGGCTGCTTGGCTATCTGAGAGAATTAGGATGGTTTGTTTTTTGTACTTCCTTCTTAAATGCTCTCGTACACACAATTCGATTGCATGTATTTCAGCCTGAAATACCATACGAGACCCCTAAGCAAGTATTTCTCTACCTCCTTATTTACCTCATTTTAGTTGCAGTTAACCTGGAAGAGTCTGTTGAAGGTTGGGCGGGGTCTCATGTGATCTGATCCTATGTTTAATATAGGATAATTTACTTCATGTGTTATTCTAGTATGTTTTATGTGTCCCAGTGAGTTCCAGTTGTTAGAGATGTTCAGTTTGTATGTACTTATTCTGGCCACCCCCTTTATGACTAGGTCAAGGGGTGGCAGGTTTAGAATGGTTTCCATAGAGGCTGTCGGTACTTCTCAGTGCTCCTGCCCTTGGAATTGCGGCTTAATATTTAGTAATACACTGGCGCTGTATAAAAAACATGTTCAAAGAAAAATTGTATTGACTTCAAAATAAACAAGTATAAGTACTGAAGAAAGTCCAAACTATTAGGTAACGGAAGCTATACAAACTTAAATCACTGTATTTTTACGTCAACACAAAAATCACAAGAAAAGCACTACAAAATAAAATATTATTTTTGTTGCTTTGTTATGTAGTTATCCTATCTATGATCTATCTTCTAGAAATCATTATTGCGCTTTCTTTATTATCCATGTTTTATCTCATAATCATTTACTCATTGTTTAAGGTATGGATCAAGAGAGGGTACGTCTAACTAGAGAAGAAGATTTATACAAGCAGGAAATGTTGAGGCTGGAAAAAGATCTTGGTGACCTCGAATCTACTGTAGAAGAACTGCGTGGAAATGTTATCAATAGAAAAACACGGGTTAATATGTCAGATGTGGAAAATATGGCGCTAGTATTGAGTAAGAGCTCCAAAACTGTAGCAGATTTAAAATTAAGGTAAATGAAAATAAAACTATTATACCTAATTACATTGTATTCTTGTTCTAAATATTAAAGTACCGATAGATACCGAAATAGTTAGACTTCGGAAACAGACGTACTTAATTTTAATAATATTGCCATGTATACGAGTTCTAACAACTAATGTTAAAAACTGTAAAATAATAATAGCTTTTTTTTCACAAAGGGTTCTAGGCTTATCTCCTTGTCGAGCTAGTAATTATTTACTTATAGACTCTGAGACCTGCTATCCAAGCCAATATACAACATTGTAAAAAATTTCTGAATTATTAAAATATTAATTCTTCGTACTTCGTACTTCTAAAAATATTGCACCGACATTGGCATTGACAGGTGATTTTAGTTTAGAAACTATTGTTACCGGATTTGTGTGTAGAACGTGTATAAAAATTAAAGATTACACTTTAAATTTTATTTGTTGCAGATTTCCAGGATTGCAAGATAGTATGAAAACGTTTTTGAGTACAGAAATGGAAAAGGTAATGCGAGAAGAAAAATTTCTTAAGGAAGAACCAGAACGGTTGGAGAGCGCTCTTAGAAGATGTAAGAAACTTACGGGTACTCTTGTTACTTTGAAAAGGTAAGATTAATTATCTACATCTAATTTTACTCTACTTCTTTTGTGATTTAAATTTTTACCCATTTCAAACACCAAAATAGTTGATATTTATATTTGAAGTATCATTACATTTAAAAAATGTAAATAAAATAATGTTTGTTTCAATTAAAAAAAAAAGTTGACGACTCTAGATGTAGATCTACCTTTACTTCGAGTTCATTAAAAGATATCTCCATTCACAGTCCTTACATATCTGCAGCACTTATAATAATTGATACAAGACTTTTTGTTATAATCAATAAGTATGCTATCAATAGTAGCCTTTACACCGGCAGACTTTCAAGAGGATATTCCCAAGTAGCATTATAGTGACAGAAACTTATATCGCCACTTCGATTAATTGACTATTACGTTATAATCCCTAAATGTACTCCTATATAGTGAGAATAACTTCATTTTATATTTTCCCAGTTGTGTTTGAAACATTTTAGCCACTTTAAAGTTGCACAAACTTGAATGTGGAAAATAGTAATTACGACCACCAAATCATATCACTTAAATACCACCTAGAAGTGGCAGTAATCTTAAAGTGGGTTTGATAGTTTTAGTAACGTTTCGGGAACCATAAATATATCTTTAAAGTGGCGGCACTTGATTGTATAACTGCAGTAGTTCTTGCTACGTTTTTCCACGCTCTTAAGTGATTTTCGTGGAAAAAAAAGCCACTTCAAAGTTACTTTTACCTTCAAAATTCACAATAAAGTAACCGTTGCCTATTAGTGGCCTGCTTTCTTCATTGTCCGCCTTTACAATAAAGTAAAAACTACCAAAAAGCAAATTACTTTGTTTTTAGACTTATCTAGAGTGCAAAAAAGATTACTTTTCGACATTTGACAACTTTTTGTAGACAACTTAAACAACAAATGAATGGTACCAAAAGTCTTAAATGTTATTACTCTGTAGTGAACAAGCAGCTGTTGTCGGAACAGATAAAATGTAAAAATTCTCAAGAATTATTTTCTTATTGGATTTCGCCTAAACGTTTCTCGTTGTGAAAAATTTAAATGGCCTGGCCAAAATAAGGTTCCTTCGTTTTTCCACATGTCGGGAACAACGCAGAAACAAACACCCCTCTTTTCTTGAGTCGATACAAGTTTAAAACTCATATCTAAATCTAAGGTGTGCACACAAACACAATATAAATCATTAAATACATAAATTTAAGTGATCTGTGACATAAACAAATTTAACCGGCAAAATCTACTGTAAATTTTGAGGTTATAAGGAATAATACAACTATTACAGTGTTGCGATATCATCAGAGCGCAATTTTCCTGAGAAAATATAGTATAAAATTTTTCCCATATTCTTCTTGAATGTACACCATATTTGTACAGGATGTTCAGTTATTTTTAGAACGTTACTTAAAACGTTTATTAAAAGAGATAAAATAAATTGTTAAATACATAAGTTATAAAGCTTTACTATAAATTACTATTAAGATAAACAAACAGTAACCAGAAAGGTAACTAACAAGTATCAACATTGTGAATTAAAACGGGAGCCCTATATATTTTTTACTATGGGGATTCCAAATATACTGTACCTTAATATTTGATTAAGCCGTTTTACGCTATTCAAGATTAAAATTGCTTTACATTTACATTACCTTGATCTAGGTTAATGGATGACATATTTGTAATTTAAGGTAAATTTGATTTTCCCCCTGACGTTATTGAACAACTCAAAAACTCTGAAATAAGTGGAGAAATGGCTGATCTGGCAACAATGTAAATAATTAAATTTAATTATAATTTTAATAATTACAATTAAACACTAGGTAGCTGCCACGTAACCGCCACTTTGAAGTGGTGAAACATATTTTGGGTTAATTCCAGCTGCCACTTATTTAATGAAAGTAACTATAAAGTCGCATATTTTTAGTTTCTGCAACTTCAGAGTTTTTTCCTGAAGCAGACATATTTGTAACCATTTTTAAGATCGCCATTATGAGAAAATATAATGGTGAAATATCACCTATCAAAATAGCGCCTGAATGAAATAATACGTATCAAAAGAGTACCAGAACGAAATAGAGCGAATAAAAAAAAGCGTCAGTTAAAACAGCGCCCGAACTACTAAGTGCCTTTTAAAAGAGCGTCGGTCAAATAGGGCCAAAAAAGTATACCATAAAGAAATTAAAAATAAATCTAAACTAATTTACATAACCTGTGCGGCCTGGAGTCGTTGCGGGTTGATTGGAAAAAAATTACACATTTTCTCAAATTATGTTTAATTGTTTTCCAATGAACCCGCAATGATTCCAGGCCGCACAGGTTATATAAATTAGTTTTTTTATTTTTCTCATTTTATGTAAAAACAAATTGCGAAGCAACCTGCGATGGCAACAGTCCGCACAGGTTAGGTAAATTAGTTCACTTTTATATAATCAATTTATGTAAAAACAATAGCGCTATTTCGTGACAGAGCCATTTCTGCTGTTTCAATATTCACTATTTTATTGAGGCGCTGTTTTGACTGACGCTCTTTGATATGCGCTATTTCATTCAGGCCCTCTTTTGGGTAGAAGCTATTTCGTTTAGCGCAATTTTGATCGGACGCTCTCAAGCAATAGCGCTATTTTGGTAAGCTCTATTTAGTTCCGCGCTATTTCGTGACTGAGCCGTATGTATACAGTATATCCGATATTAAACTTCATATATTCCTATCGGAATCTCGCTCAATATAAGAGATAGAAGGTCGGTTTAGAATGTTTAGAGAATTTGATTCTGATCTCAATTCCGTTTTCAAAATTATTAAAAGTGAACTAGTTTTTCAGTTATTTTATGAAAATTTATGATTGTTTTCCTTTTAATGACACCTGAATAATTTGACATATTCCACAGTATAAGATTCTTGCGACAAAATATTTTTGTAAAAAAATTTCTAACTTGTCTTTTATTTTCGCGTTACCTACGGTAACTTTGTTATTTCTTGTGATGGTCTTATTTGATTTTTACATCATATTATTACTCTCTAAATTACCTTTTAAACAATATGCCACATGCCATCCAAATTTCTAGGAGAATAACAACCTGTGGTTGTCCAAAAATACCTGTCTATTACGATCCAGTGTTTCGCAGTCACACCGTATTTGTTTGGTTGTTCCACACAATGTGTGTCCATTTTACATGCCTGTTTGGTTCAGGTGTTCTTTTACTGAGGTATGGCCAGCCATGAATCCCGTTATTGTTTTCAACAAGTTCTTATTCATAGAGAGTAGTTCTCCTGTTCGTTTTGAACATGGTCTTCTTAAAAAGGTTTTCCGATGTCCTTGTTATGGGACATTTTCTAAATAGTTGTCGTTTTTTCCAAACCTTTTTATGAATACTCGAACTGATTTTTTGGTATTGTAAAGTTTATCTGGTTCCGATATTTTTTCTGATCCTTTTTTGCAAGTTCGTCAGCCTTTTCTGTGCCCTCGGTCCCTTAATGACCTGACACTAGTTTACTCTATTTTGGTTTTTCATTAGTTTTAGTTTTTTGATGCAATACAAACCAGCCTCGACGTCACTTTCTGGGTCACCTGGCTGTCTGATATTATTTGGATTTGCTCATTTTCGGTAGCTTTGCTAATATTTGTTCTTGCACATTGCAAGTTTACATAAACTTTAGCCTAAAATATTGAAGTATGTTTTTCTATTGCATAGCCAAGGTTGGTGTTAGGGTTTTTGGAGAATACTCCTAAGATACTTTACCCCCCTCCCCCTTTAGTTTTACCTCAGAGGTTTACAGATTCTAGTATCTCCAACTTTTTCTTACGCGTGAATGCAATTATGGTAGATTCATTGGGACTAATTTTAGTAGTTCATACGATGTCTAACTGTAATGTTTATATTTATCCCAAGATTTAATAACTAGTTCATCGGCATATCCCAAGGTTTCATGTCCATTATTTTATAGAGTCCTGAGCAGCCTATCTATGACCAGGTTTCACAGCAGTGGAGAAAGTACTGCTTCCAGTGGGCATTCCCTCGCAACCCGGGCTGCTATCGTCTCTTCCATAATGGTTGCATTCTTTCTCTTAGCATATAGTCCATCCAGGTCACAGATGTTTCCTCGATTCCTCTATGTTACAAAGTTTTGACGATAGAATCGACGAAGGTATTGTCAAATGCTCCATTGATGTCCAAGAAAGCTCCTAAAATTATTTTCTTATTTTTCAGTATGTTCTCTGTCCTTTTTTTCTAATTGATAAAAAGCTGTTTCTGTTGGTTTTTCTGTACTATATGCGTATTGGTTCTGGTTTATTGATCTTTGTACTAATATTCCGTTTCTAATATGTCTATCTAGCGATTTCTTTAAAGTCTTGAGAAGATTTGTTTTAGATAGTTTTATTAAAATATTCGAAATACTTATTTGTGTGTTGGAACATACTGCGTAAAATCGTGACGGTACAATGTACTCATTGGAACTAATTTTACATATTTTTTTTTAATTACTTTTCCATTATGTTGCCGCGAGTTTGCCCTCTAGTTCTACACCAGAACAGTAGGATACAATAATTTCCTAAAGAAAAGCACACAACAATTTAGGGTTTTTTTCAAATTCTAGGCTGGCTAGCGTACAAGAACAAAGGCTTCCTTCTTCCAACTCTAGTGATGGTCGACTATCTCCAACGCCTACTGAGACTCCACCTATTACGCCTTCATCTACGCACAGCAAGGTAAACCTAGTTTAACCAATTTAAAATTGTTGTACTTACCCGCATGCTGTGCTGCTATTTGAATCAATTTATATCACAATTTGTACAGGAAGATAAATAATATTTTGAGTTTTTAGTTAACATGTTGACTGCTTTTAAAAGTAATAAAAAAGTATTTTATTTTGAAACTTTAATATTTTTTAAGAACCGGCCAACGTTTCTATCTTTTCACTCTAATGGAATTCGATTTTTATACCATGTACATTTTTACCAAAATGTATCTGATTCCTTTGAAATTAGTCGTAGAAGTTAAATAAAAACATAAATCTATACCAGACATATAATTTTTTTTAATGTCTACCTAATTAGTACAATAAAAATTGTATGTGAAAAATAGAATTCTCATGCATTTAATAAAAAACTCTCTTTGAAATGTTTTTTGGAATAAAACCAAGGATAGGCCATCTACAATACTTTGGGCAAAAGGCATATGTTAATATTCCAATTCAAGAAGCTACAAATAATTTCTAATTGGATTTGGCAAGAAAGAAGGCTGGTACCGTTTTTGGAATGGTAAAAATTTTATCGTTTCAAAAGATTTTAAGTTAGTTCCTCAAGAAGGTCAAGAAGGAGTTATATTTATATCACCTTTCCAAAGAAAGGAAGTAAATAATACTTATTTACAAAATCCTAATAAAAATAGTGGAAAGATTGATCATACTGAAAATAAAACTAAATTTAATTTGCCATCAACATCCTATGAGGAACCAGATTTAACATCAAACTCTGTTCCATCCAGTTCCCATAAAAAATCAGATTTAACACAAAATTATGCACCCTTTAGACGCAGCGCAAGAGTAAGTAAACCTCTTATTCGCTATACAGAATAATTTTGTAATTTAGCTTTAGATGAACCACTTTCATATATAGATGCTGTTAAAGGACCTGAATCAGATTTGTGGATGGCTGCCATCAATGACGAACTTGAGTCAATGAAGAAAAATAATGTTTTGGATATTGTTGAAATGCCTCCTGGAAAAAGAACCATCGGATGTAAAATAGATTTTAAAAATAAAGTTAGGAGATGATGGAAAAATCTCTAAATACAAAGCAAGACTAGTAGCACAAGGGTATAGTCAAATACAAGGTATTGATTTCGAAGATACTTTTGCTCCCGTCGTGCGCTACGAGACAATTCCAATTTTACTTGCACATGCAATTCACAAACAAATGGTTGTGAAACAACTAGATATAAAGACTGCATTTTTCAACGGTGACATAGACTTTAAAATCTATATGAAAATACCAGAGGGTTTAAGTGAAAGACCAGGGAGAGTCTGTCTTCTAAAAAGAAGTGTTATGAATTAAAGCAGGCTCCGCGTCAATGGAATCATAAACTAATATCAGTTCTTAAAGGAATTAATCTACATCAATCAATTGCAGATCCATGTTTATTTGTATCATCAGATTATCGACAGGCTCTAGCAATATATGTAGACGATATATAATTATTAGAAAGTACCGAAAAAAAAACACGAATAATTGAAAACTCTCTACAAAATAATTTAGAAGTTACTTTTATTGGTGTTCCAAAATTTTTATTATCGTTACAAATTGAGTTAGGCCCAACTTCTGTATGTATAGATCAACAACAGTATATTCTTAAACTACTGGAGAAGTATAGTATGTCTAACTGCAAACCTATATCTACACTAATGGATCCAGGTTCCAAGCCACAAAAAGCGAAAGAAGGTGATCCAAGAACCGATAAAAAATGCTACCAATCAAAAATTGGAAGTCTTCTTTATCTCGCTACCGGTACAAGACCAGATATAACGTTTGTAGTTAATGTTTTATCATAATTTTGTGTTGATCTCATTGTAACTCATGATAATATGATTCAACATCTCTTACGTTATCTCAGAGGATCACTAAATCGAAGACTTGTATATAAATACACAACTTCACCATCAATATCCATGTTTAGTGACGCTTCATATGCAAGTTGCATTGATGATAGACGTTTCTTTAGTGGATATATGGGATTTTATGGACTGGCTCCTGTATCTTGGACTACAAAGAAACAGCAGTAAGCACAAGCGAGTCTGAATATATGGCTCTCAGCATAGCATGTAGACAAGCTATTTGGAAGCAATATAATATAAAAGATCTTCTTGGACAAACCAAGATATTATTGCTGTGTGATAACCAGGCCGCAATACATATTTCTGAAAATCCAGCTCTTCATCAACGAAGCAAGCATATAGATATTCAATATCATTACATTAGGGAGCGCGTTATGTCCAAAGATGTTAACATCGAATATATTCAATCGAAAGAAAATATTTCGGATATGTTAACAAAGCCTTTATCAAGATATTCCTTAAATTATTTGTGTACAAAAATAATGGAGAATACACACTCAGGAAGAGTGTTGAAACTGCCCAGTATAATTCTCCATTATTCACCATGTATATTTATTGTGTTTGGTTGATTTTATTATTTTGTCACTTATTGACATTGATTGTAAAAAAAAATGATTATAAATATATATTTTGTCAATCTCTAAACTTATTCCTGAGTTATTTCTACATTAGGATAACTTCAGTAATGTTCCATGCATCTGGTATATATTTAAGGCGAAATGCTGCATTTATGAGGTATGTCAATTTAACGATAGCCTTCCGTGGCAGTTTCTTTAATATTTCTCCAGTAATAAGGTCATATTCTAGAGCTTTCTGCGGGTTAATGTTTGTCTGAATTTATTTCGCAACTTCATTGGCAGTAACTAGCCTAACTTCGAGTTGTTCCATATTATGGATTCGTCTCGTTAGGAGAGTGTTGTTTTTCATCTAATTGATACATCTTTTGTAGGTGGTCAGCGAAATTATCAGCTTTTTATTGTCTCGTGCCTATTTGTTATATGATATTCTGATGGGAGGACAGTGTTTACACGAATTTTTTACCTTTTTAATTGCCTATTAGGTATCTGTTAAAGGATTCTTGTTTGTAATTTAGGATTTCTTTTCTCTTTTCTCAGTCTTTGGGTAGTCCTATTTATTATATTTTTATCGTCTGGTGATCTTGTCCATCTGCCATTTCTTTCTTTGTTTTCTGTTTACTGCTACTAGCTCTCTTATCTCGACATGATAATTATTTCCAGTCTTCTTACTTTTGGTGTGTTCCTCCATGCAGCTTGCTGGATTTCAACTATTTCAACTAGCATAAAAATATGGTTGGGTCGAAATATCGAAAAAAAAACTATTTTCAAGCAAATTTCGGCGTCCTCTACTTTTTGCATTTATGATCTTGGAATAAATTGTAGAAAATATTGTTAACTACAAAATTTTGTATGAAAAATGATCATCTATCGATAATTCTTTTGAAAAGATTTGTTTCTGAAAACATTTTTTTTATTTTTAATGTACTATAGTAGATGAGACTAAAAGAAAATCAGTAGATCATTATAATTTTTTTCCAGTTAAATTACGACGCGACGGCGACGCCTCCAAATTTAAGCATTAAAACAAATGTTTGGAGTACAATTTGAATCACGACCCATTTTTTTTGTGATAATATTGACGTTTTTAATGGTCCTTAGTTCTGTTTAATAAAAATATACTTACCTACTTTCTTGAAAACTCCAAATATATGGCTTCATTGCTTTTAAAAAACCGTTACTAAATCTATTGGAACTTTTAATAGCTAGAATAATGGTTTTAACCCCACTCTATTTCAGTTTTTTTACATATGGAATTGTATTTACGCATTCTGAAAGTTTAGGTAAATATCCAAGCTTATTCTAGGCGAAAATGCACGCTATTGGAAATGTGTCCAGTTCAGCATGGATAGAAATGATCGTAGGTAATTATCATGTCTGGTAACAAAGCAATCAGAACACTGATCTTTAAAGAAACAAGCTCAAAGATAGTCTGGAAATTCCTAAATAAAATAAATAAGCTACAGGCTAAAATATTACAGTTACTCTTACGTGGCTACCGAGGGCACACTGGGATAAGGCGTAATGAGGTAGCAGATAGTATCGCAATAAAAAAGAGCCCAGACACCTTTTATTGATCCTGAACCCTTCTAGACAAAGACACTTCGAGCTGACTATTTTCAGGAAAGATCAGGTGTCTCAGTAGGAACAAACTATTCATATTGATGGGAATTTAACTGGACATTGCCGACTCAAAGACTAGTGGAAGAAAATGAGTGCAGATTTGGAGATAAAGAAATCGGTACCTGTGGCACTACAAATCCAATGACACTATATATGAGAGTATACCAAAAAGAAGAGAGTGACAATTGTCTTTCTTTCTCATATCATTCTGTTTTTTCATCTCCATCTTTATCAAAGTTTTCGCCTTATCAATTCCGATCTCTTCAATTTGATCAATATATTTCCCCATGTGCCTTGTTGCCTTTTTACGTTACTTTTCTCGCTGATTTGTCTAGTTTCATCCTTACTAGGTGATATACCAGTTTAAATAATTGTATGTTTTTAATCTTTATCATTATTGGTTTCTATTCAGTTAGTATTCTTATATCTTTATTCCTTGTTTTATTCCATTTATTTTTCTCGGGATTTTTCTTAAATGTTTCATTTTCCTTGCAATTATTTTTGATTTTTTTGTAGTACCCAGTTTTTACTAGCCAAACCTTTTGTAGTAGTCTAGGATCCGTAAGTAGGGTCGGCCTTCACCCATCTGTTTAATGGATAAAAGTTTGTTTTTATTAAATAAAATATGTTTTTAAATATACCGCAAATGGGTTGCCTAAGAAAATACGGTCACGGCAATTTTTTACTTTTCTTTCTGTGTATAGATAAGGAAAGCATAGGAATCATTATAAAAGTTGTTTATAATGTTATTCTCTAATATTTTGTTCCCTTACATGATTTCCTTAAAATGGACCTAATTCGAGATATTTGAGGAAAAGTGCAAATTTCTAATTTTGAAGATAACTCAAAAACGAATGAAGATAAAAACACCAAATTTTAAATTTAAGCTTTAATTCAC